TTGAATGAAATTGTGCTCCTAGGTCATAACTGACTACGGCATTCGATTTTGCAGACAAAAACACATAAGAAAATGTATTGTCAAGACTATTTTTACACTTTAAACAGAGTTTGAAATAAATCGAATGATAGCCCGATTTCGCTTCTTTTTTGGAGCACGTTTTTGAACTTCAAAAATCCATCGACACCATCTAAAATCATTTTTTTGGGTTCTAGTTTACGGGAAAATTCATTTTAAACCTCAAACTTTCTGATTCCGATGGATCCCCCGAGATATAAAAAATTTTAGAAAAAGTGGACCACCCTAATCAATATATATATCAATATCTGTTTTTATCAATTAAATGATAAAAACAATTTGAGATCATGAATATTGATTTAATAAACATTTTCATGCGTTAACCTAAAAGGAGAATAATTTATAATTGAATTCAGCTGCTCGCTTGTTTATTACCACGTGGATTATGGACAATATGTCGATTATGGACAAAATTTCGATTATGGACAAAATGTCGATTATAGGGATATTGCCGATTATCACGAAAAATTCGGTAATCGTGAAAATGTCAGTAGTCAGGAAAAAGTCGACCATAACGAAAATTTTAATTTTTAGCGAAAATGTAGATTTTTTGTGAAAATCTCGAATATTACGAAAATTTCAGTGAAATCAAACGGAAAGATGTTGACTATTAAAACATTTAAAAAATTTTTTAATTGACAGAATCAAAGAAATTTTCAAAAATGTACATCCAAGATGTTTTCGAGATATTTCTGGATTCATAATATTTTTATGATTTCCGGATGATTTGAATTTACGATGAGTTTCTAAAATATTTTTATTTTCTCTGTTTCAACGTAAAAAATTGTCGCTTCTGCACGACTACCACAATTTACATAGTTATTTTATTATTAGAAATTATCGAGAAACATGCCATTTTCCAATCGTCACCATTTTAGCAACAATTGATTTTTACGAAAAATCTACATTTTTGCCAAAAATTAAAATTGTCGTAATAGTCGACATTTTCGCCAAAAAATCAACATTTGAATAAGCTGAGATTTGGTGGAAAATTTCAATTCTTAATTTTTTTTCAAAATTAAGGAATCTTCTCTGTGACTCTTTTTAGAAATTTGATTGAGTGAGACGTGCTTCTCGATAAAGGCCGAACTCGAATGAGCGTCATAGGAGCGCAAAGCTTCCCTCGACGGTTCGAGAATAGCACATATATAGTGTATATGGAACGTATTTTATATACACAGTGTAGCATAGCAGTGCGTGTCGGCGCATCTGTGTATGTGTGCCCATGCAGCCTCTTTGGAATGCGCGACTCATTAAAATTGCAACTAGCACTGCCGCTGCTGCCGTTGTGCGCGCGAACGCCAAAGAACTGATTACACTTGGACTTTCCCGTAGCACACACACACACACACACACACACACACACACACACACAGACGGCTACTGCCAAGCCACCGCACGAGAATATGTATACATACCTATACATCTTCAAAGCTAGGCCTCAGATCGCGCTTCGAGTCTTTTATTTTTCTTTTTTTTTCATTCAGATCGATTCGAATGCACATTGCAAAAGTCAATGAATATATATACGTGTATTCTCAGACTGTGATGCGTGTAGTACAACGCGGTGCGTATACAACCGAGTGCCGCGAGATCAGTGAATGATTCGTAAAATGCATCGCGATCGACGTTCCTTTTCCACTGATTATTGCTTCTCATATATATTGTGCTACGCGTAAAAATGCCTCAACACATGCCAATGCACACGAGCGTATGCGCTCAAAGTCGAAAAAAAAAGAAAAGTGAAGCATAATAAGTGAGCTCGCGTTCGCGTAACGCTTCGACCTCGAAAACAGACACTGCACTGCTCGCTTTACATTACATTATTATAATGCAATATATGATATATAAATGCACTTAATCATAGGCTCTGTATTGTGACCTGTGCGTGCGCGCAATTATATACGCACCTATTTAATAAGAACAAAGTCATTATACGAACTTGGTAAATACGCTCGTGTGCGCACGTGTTGCACTTCTTTCCGCGTTTTACATTTTGCCGAAGCTGAACGCTCTGCGCGATTGCACGCGATGCTAACTTTTAATACAAAAATAATTGAAAAATATATTGAATTCTGACAAAGGAACAGACAAATAAATGTTATTGAACTTTGCTTGTGCCAAGTCCAATGAAATTGGTAATATTCAATCACAGAAATTTCAACAAAAAACTCATACCTTGAACAAGTAGCTTTTTTAGGCGGTAAACTATATTTGAACGATAATTTATCAGTTCAATCATTATATCGACGTGCCAGTGTTCAAAGATGCCCCTTCACAGAGCATAGAGCAAAAAGATGCCACTTCGCGCTCCGGGCAGAAAGATACCATTTCGCGCTTCGAGCTGAAAGATGAATCATCAGTGCTCGGTATTTCTGCGTTTGAAGCTTCAACTTGAACTATTATCTTCATTCCAATTTCAAAAGTAATTTAACCATTCCTGAACATCTGAAAATAAGACTATCTTCTACAGGTATAGGCTAGTTGGTTCATCGTCGATATCAAATGGCTCACACCGTCGCGAAGAAATTATTAAGTGTAAACACGTTTGCCCATCATCAAAAACTTCGTTTGCATCGGCATTATTTCGAAGCAGTTTCCAGATTTTTGTGAGCAGTTTTCATCAATTCTACACAATTTTCGTCATAACGAATACGCAACATATTAAGTAAGCACCGCACTAATGGACTGCAATCTTCATGGTCTTTTGCATTCACATCGCATTTGTAATTAATGAAGAATTCAAGAAGTTCGGAATCAAAATTAAACCCTTCGAAAAAATGTTGAAAGGGTTTTTTTTTCATAAGGCTTATGTTGGGATTGCACCATTTTTTAAGAGTAATTTTACTATTTTGAATTGCTAAAATTCAGTAACTAAAGTCAATGGTGATTTGTTGGAAATTTTGGAAGACCAAATAAGATCAAAGTCGATTTTTTTATCAATATATTTTTGCACTATCTCGATGTTGCCATACGTGCAGGCTGCATTGCAAATACGTACATCCTTCGTCATCGCTAAGATATTCAAATTCATCCTTGCCTGTTATATGTTTTACGAGCTCTGTGAGATAATGATTGCCTACAAGCTGCAGAACATCTAATCGAAAGCATTCGTCACATTCATTTGCCCGTTTAAGACAACGCAAAGGCGCTTTACTCCAGTCATCTGCTAATTTTAGATCCCGCCATTGTCCAGTAGTAATTTTACGACTTCCAATTTGTTGCATTCGATAGCCAAAGCCAAAGGGGTTTTAGTAAACCAATTTTCAATGTAAGCCAGATTGATATACTCGCCTTGATCTATGAATTTTTGCATCTGAATTCCTCCGGATATGCAGGCTGCATGAAAGTACGTCCTTCCTTATCGCTAAGATTTTCGCCACCCGATTTTTTAAATAGATAGTCCATACCTGATGAATTTCGATTTTTTGCTGTAATATGAATTGCCGTTTGACCCAAGTCATTGATTACTTGCATGTCGGTGCCATTTTCCACAAGTATCCTGACGATGTCGCGAGTTCATGACTTGCTTTCTACGGCTGTTTTTGAGATTCAGTTAATATCCTCGACTTTGCCGTTAACTTCATCCGCAATAAATGCAACTAAGTCTCTCTCCCTCCACGAATGCTGTTTCATAAAAATGTTGACAAACGTTTGTCTTTTCTTTTTAATTTCTGTTAGAGCACCTCTTCGCCTTCTGTTTTTTCTGCTATCATTCATTGTAAAATTATAATTTAATCTTTAAAGTAGCTTCGTTGCCTTTATATCATACGATTACATTAAATTATTTCTATGTATATCAGCACACTTTATTTATTATAGATCTTTGTTTTTTTTGTGATTGTCGTGTGCACACACTTTCATAGTGCATCTACTACAGAGGCCGATTCATAACGACTGACTTTTTCGCACACGATTCTCGTTTAAAATACCTATACCGGCGTGCAATGTTTTTGCCCGCTCAGTCATTAAGCAGGTAAAAACCATTTTGATGTCCGAAAACCCACGTGCTGCTCTTGAACTTGACGACGTTGGATTTTTATTTCAACTATTCTTATCAAAGTCATCAAATCACACGACTTTATAGGTGAAAATTGACAATGTTATAATAAATAGCCAATACTTGAAGGTGTTGAATAAAACGGGGTTTTTTCCCGCTAATTGACGCACAGTGAATTTCGACATGCGTGGAGAATAAGTATCAGAGTAATGACACTTTTAATTTTCTTGTTTTAGCACGTGACTTGTTTATAGATGACTGACGATATATAATTATTCATACAACTTGATACGCGGGGGAAGAGGGTGAATTGTTTGTATTCGAAGAAAAAAATTGATGTTCATGTTCAAATAATCAAATCATTTAATGCATGAAATCATAATACATTATAAAAAACTTGTAAAAAAAAATATAGTTATACTATACAGAAGAACAAGGTATAATTCAATGAACATCTTATTCTATTATTGTGTTTGGATGAAGAGATACATTTAAAACAATACTTCAGAACACATAAAGTTAAAATAAAAATTAAACGAATATTTCGGGACGAGCAAACTCTAATAAATTCCACAATCGACTTCTGTCCACTCAAAAGATCAAAATTTAGTTTACTTTATTATCATACCTCGATAATTCCGATCGTCGATACTGCGATCGTAGTCGTGAATCATAGCGTGCGAGGAAGTAAATCTCGTAACGGCGCTTCCAGGAGCTATTCTCGACCGAAAGTGAAATGCCTCGTCCCGAAGTATACATAGCCTATGATGTTGCGCGTCGATCTGTATGCAATTATCGCAGATGCATTCTGCGGATGCCTACATAATTATCGGCTACTTCGGGTCGCGCATAATATAAATAAAATGAACTGTGTCGATCGAAGCCTTAATCATCACATTATCGCTTTTCATAAAATTTAAGATTATTTTTCAACCGTTGCGACTAGGTGTAAACTATTTTTTGGATTTGAAAATGAAGAATCTTTATCGGTTTCGCTATCCGTTTCGCTTTCGATATTCATTTCGCTATCCCCCTCGCTATCCCCTTCATTATCCCCTTCACTATCCACTTTGCTATCTTCTTCGTTATTCCCTTCGCTATCCCCTTCGTTATTCCCTTCGCTATCCCCTTCGCTATCCCCTTCGCTATCCCCTTCGCTATCCCCTTCGCTATCGCTTTCGCTATCCCCTTCGCTATCGCTTTCGCTATCCCCTTCGCTATCGCTTTCGCTTGTTTCCTGAGAATCGTCCAATGTTGCCTGTGATGTGGAAGGCACTCCTGGTATATTGCACCTGTGACGTGACTCCATGTGTTCCTGGACCAGCGCTAAATCCTTAAATATTCTCATGCAGTGGCTGCACCTATACGTCTTTATGTCCTTATATGTCAGACATTTTGGAGTGCAGTTTGTATGCATTGCAGGTGTAGGATTGGCGAGCATTTTCGTAATTGATTTTACTGAACTTCCGAGTTGCGATAAATTTTCTATAATTGTGGCTGAAATTATATAGATATTGTATTAATGAAAAATTATTTTATTAGCCAAGATACACGTTTAATACGGTCTAAAAAAGATATGTTTCAAAAAGTAAGTGAGTTCTAAGAATTAAATTAAACGTTAGTAAATTTTATAGATTTAGTAACTTATTTTCAATGAATGCGTTTGAATAAAAAATCAAATAAAGTAAAAAAAAGAAGTTATATGCTCACTAGAGATTTTGATTAATCGTGAAAAGCGAGTGTTCAATGAAATTACAAAAAACCACTAGTCGGCTATGTAAAGCTATACCAAATATTCAATAAAATACTAAATTTTATAGCGTGTGTTACATGAATTCACGTGTGTAAATCACAGAGTCGCTATTATGTCTGTATTTATTATTATTTATTCGCGAGTCGTCGGCTTCTGCCTCACGATATTTTGCAGTCATGTTTATTGTAACTTGACTTTAAAACTAAACTTTTTGAACTATTATTTTCTCATTGGTTTGGGCGAATGACACGATCGAGTTTATAATTTTAATAACAATCAGAGGTAAACGCATACAATTCAATGATTACGGTATCAACTCGACAATGTTTACTTACTTGGAGAAAGTGCGATGAGCCCATGTGGCAGTAACGGTCCGGGACAAACTGTGCGTTCGCTCGTGTTACAAGTACTGGTGGCGCTCTGACGTATGATTTTGGAAACTCAGCTCATATCTAGAATTACATCGAGAAATTTCAAAATCTATTCGGATCTCGAAAACAGCTGTTCATTTTGAAAGTTTCGAAACTCAGACGTCAGAGCGTCACCAGTATAACTTTTTACCATAAGAACACAAGCGTGGAGCGTGCCCGAGACCTATGATAATCTTAAAGATGAACAAAAAAGACAGGTTGATTAAATATGAATTTTTTTATTTTAGTCCTAAAGGGACAAGCATACCCACTCAGTCCATATTAGGTAGAATCATCTTAAAACTTTGTAATTGCTTTCAAGAGACTGATACGATAGTGAACGTTTCCTTCGTTTTATGTAATTAAATTATTAAATTAAATTAAATTTATTGTTGTATTTTGATTTTCATAACCTCTATAAACTAGATATTCGCATCTCCTAAAAAGTTAATTTGAATAAACTTATAAGACATTTTCGTGAAAATAAGACTATTGGCATAATTGTATAAACCTTTTAAACTTAATTAGATAGTTTGAAGACGATTAATTCATTTTTTATTGAGAAAAAGGAGGACAAGATAACTTGATACTAAATACCGACTGAATGGGAGCTCCCGACCCTTAAGGCTATTTTTTTAGACTTTTAAAAATATAATTATTCCTACTCCTTCTTTATGATACAGTTGAATCGTAAATATACTTACATTGAAAGTGTAAAATTTGTTAAATAAATGAAAAGGTTTATTATCGTACTTTTAAAAGTACAATTGTAATTTTTTTATTTTAAAAGGGTCGTTATTTGATATGAATAGTCGGATTAAAACCATCAAAGTGTTTTAGTCACAATATAATGACAGCAATTACCGAAATTTTCAGCATTAATAATTACTTGATGATCAAAACATGAACGTTTAATTGTTTCCAAGTTTTAGATAAGTTTTCAACCTCTTATTAAATACGACAATACCACTCTAAGCATCCAAAACTAGATGGTGAGTATAATTATCGATAAATCTGTAAGTGGCAAAATGAAAGTAACTTATATATAAATCAAAGCATGGTTTTGAAAATATAATAAGAGATGTTCCTCTGTCTTCCGTTCCGTCTATAAAGCTAGTCCGATAAAAAATTTTCATAATAATACAGCGATGTACATAAATTTCTTACTCCTTATTAAAAATAAATCACATCAGAGATTCGCCGAAATCCCAGACGCGTGGATCTTCGCGTCAGATTTGCGCAGAGCCTCCGTCAGCCGTTTACCGAGCTCGACGTCGACTTTGCCAAAGTTGCGCAGGGCGCGCTCCTGAATGAAGGCCGAGGCGTTCTTCAGGTGATCGGCGATGTTGCGCACGAGGCGCGATTTCGCCCCTTCGTCGAGGACTTTGCGCCAGAACAGCGTCGCTTGGCCGTAATCGTCCTCGTTGATGGGATCGTAACGATCGGCCTCGCCGCTCGCGTGAAAGCTCGGCGATCGCACGGCCGGGCACTCCTGCGGCCCGTTGAAGCTGTTCGGGAAGTAGTTCGGGGCGCCGTCCTGATTGTTCAAGTTCATCAATCCATCGCGTTGATAATTAATCACGAATTGCTCCTGGAAAATTTCGGATAGACGGGATGAAACTCGAATGATATAGTTATTTCTACACTTCGTGTATGATTATTTATACCTTGTAAGGGCAATTGACCGGCAGCTGCTGATAGTTGGGGCCCAGTCGATGTCGATGCGTGTCACCATAAGAAAAAAGACGACCCTGCAAAAGTTTGTCGGGACTCGGCTCGATTCCGGGTACCAAGTTGGCTGGGTCGAAAGCCACCGATTCGACGTCGCTGAAGTAGTTATCAGGATTTTTATTGAGGGTTAATTTACCCACGGGCATGAGTGGATATTCTTTCTGAGGCCACACCTATAAATAGAAAAAAAGAAGATGATAAAGACGCAATTAAATTTATCCAAATTCTTGTACCTTTGTTACGTCAAAAGGATTCCATCTGAATGATTCGGCTTGTTTTTGCGTCATGATTTGAATATAAAACGTCCACGACGGATACTTACCCGTTGCAATGGCATTGTACAAATCTCGAATAGAATAATCGGGATCATTAGCTCCGATCTGTTTAGCTTTGTCTGGTTCAATATTTTTTATCCCTTGATCCGTCTAATTCAAAAATGATTTTCTTTATCAAACTTATTCTGCTTTTTAGAAAAATTAAATAATGATCAAAAGATGCACCTTGAAATGAAATTTGCACCAAATCGTCTCCTTTTGTTCATTGACTAGTTTGAAGGTGTGAGACCCATAGCCGTGCATAAATCGATAGCCATCCGGTATGCCTCGATCGCTAAATAAGATCAGAACTTGATGAGTCGACTCGGGGCGTAAAGTTAAAAAATCCCAGAACATATCGGCATCCTACGATCAAAATTATCATCAATTAATTATAAAAAGTTGTTGTTTGGGGGACAGCCGTCTCGAATTTGGAATTCGACCTTCAAGTGAGTGGCGGGGTTCCTTTTCTGCGTGTGTATAAAACTGGGAAACATCAGAGGATCTTTCACGAAAAATATCGGCGTGTTGTTACCGACCATATCCCAAACCCCTTCTTCCGTATAAAATTTGATAGCGAACCCGCGTGGATCTCTGCGGGCAAAAAACGTCGTTGAAGATTCATTCTATAATCTAAGTATTGTTGAAACTATATTCACCTCGAAGTGTCAGCTGAACCACTTTCGCCGCTGACTTGGGAAAATCGTGCTACCAGCGGAGTCTTCTTTCCAATTTTGGAAAATAACTTGGCTCTCGTGTACTTCGTGATGTCGTGGGTCACCTCGAAGTAACCGAACGCACCTTTAAACGAGATTCCAACAATTTACACGAGCAGTGTTCAATTAATCGAGTTGCTGTACCGTTTAAATGCAGCTAATGACATTACATACCTGCTCCTTTGGCATGGACGACGCGCTCGGGTATTCTTTCGCGATCGAAATGAGAGGTTTCATCGATCAAAACGAAATCTTGAAGCAGAATAGGCCCTCTGGGACCAACGGTAAGACTCGACTGCTTATTAGCAATCGGAACTCCATTACCGGTTAAAACGAGTGCACCGGGCTGCAAAAAATAATAATGAGTAATTTCTACCGTACGCTCTGATGGAAATGCACAATATCAATAATGACCGAATCGTTTTAGATTATCTCATACCACTAATTGGCTTTTTTTTGGCGATTTTTCAATTGCAATTATATTACAAATATTGGGCATGTTTTAAATGCCCTGAAAATGACAATTGAACTGTTTTTTTAAAATTTATATCAGGTTTCAATCACTTGAAACACGATAATACCACTTTAAACTCTCACCACTAGATGGCCAGTATCTTTATCAATAAATCTGCAAGTGGCAAAGTCAAAATAATTGTATAATAAGTCTAAACACAATTTTGAAAAAAACGTAATTTTATGTGCAAGAAATTTTTTATATTAAAGATAATGTTATTAAATCCAAAGTGACAAATTCGGATTCTTGAAGGTTTTAAATTTCAAATATGAGAAATGAAAAATAACTAATGGAAGTCTGTTTAAATGGTAATTTGCGTGAATTTCATACAGTCAAAATATGGTCATTGAAAAAACGTAATGACCATAAAATGTAGAAATAAACAGTATACACTTTTAGGTAATACATTTCCACTTTTAATTATCTATTATATTAATACCTAAAAAAAATTTTTTCTATATCCAAAAACTAGTCTTAAAATCTTGAGCATTTCTACCAAGATATCAAAATTAATAAACTGCTTTTCTGTATTGTGTCAATAGTTTTAGTGAATTTTTTTATTTAAAAAATTAAATGAGAATATTGTCGAATAACTAACCTTTGTTCTTTTTTTATACTCATTGAGTTGTTCTGCAGCTGGATCCCGGGGCATATTTGATTGACAAGATCAAACTATTGTTAACGAGAGACGCGTAATGAGTGACACAAAATTGCGCAGTTTTTCGAAAATCTGGCCTCTCGTAAGTACCTACTATGTATAACTGTGATAAGCATAAATAACAGAATTACTTTTTATTTTTTTATTTTAACAAGCACAAGCTACAGCTGATTATACAGCTCGGCAACGTCAAAGTACATGCAGCGTTGCATCAAAAATGCCAATAAAATAACTCGTTGACACAGATACCCATTGTAAAAGTTTTTCTAACTAATGAATGCATTTTTTTATTTAAATTTATTGTGCTTTTTTTAATTCTTGTAGCTCTTTCGGAAATTAATAATTTGTTAGGATTACGCATCGACTGTTATACGTTACGTGACAATATCCCAACAACCGACTGTCAACAGTCAGTAAGTTCTGAAGTAATTTTTCTGTTAGGCAATAAGTTAAGAAAGATAAAAAATGAATCATCAATAATAATTACGTAATGCAATTCTTGAATAATTATGTAAAACAATTGAACATTCAGAACTATGGTATCTACCTAGTCGAAAAATTTTCAATTATGATTGAATGATTTATTCTTTTATGACCGCAATCAAATTGTATATACTACGCGTTGCTCAGAAGAGGTAAATAAGTATGCAATAAAAAAAAAAATAAAAGAAGCTTACGATTTGATAAAAGTATTACTAGTTTGTAAACTGATTGCCCACTCGGCTCAATCTGTTATGTGTAGCTGGACGGTGCTGATGAGGGTTTGCATTCACGCCTCTACAAAATTAAAAATATTCGAAAAATCGTAAAAAATCCAAATACAGTATGTATATTCGCAAAAGTACATGAAAAAATTCGCAAGTCTAGAAAAACTGCACGATTAGAGTATCGACGCGTGTTTGACAAGATTCGAAAAGTCACAGAGAATTTGCTCCTTTTTTGCAAGATGTTTTATACTCGTTCACTCTCATCCCCGCCTAGGCATAATTACTCAATACCTTCTAAGGGGGTGGTGTGACCAGTTGAAATACTTAATTGTTTTCCCGCACGTGTCGATCTCGACACATGCCATTTACACTTGCTGGTGCCCGTCGACCTCGGGTCGCTCGTTTTTGATCGAGCCGCCGACGTTGAGTTCTTTTATCACTTAAATAATTCATATTTATCATGTAATTATTGCACCTTAATCAAACGATTATATCCTCCCATCGTGAAAACTCTCGGTATAAAGCTAAAACTGTAAATGTCCGTCTAAATGAATCCAAAATCTTATCGATTTTTTTCAAGCAGATCATTACATTCTAGTGTCAATCTAGCGAAGAGGCTTCAGTTTCGTCGTTTCGACCTCTTACGTACATTTTACGCGATTCACCGAAATCCGCAATTGGTCTTGCAGCAAACACAAACATTCGCGTATAAATGCACGATTTATCGCCTCTCGAAACGCATTTTACCAGTTGCGGTGCAGGCTTTTTACAGCGCAACTTTTTTACAACAGAGGGTTAAACAACTTTTCCTATTTTAGACTCAAACGCAGCAGCAGCTACAGCTTTTACTTCGGAGCTAGCATAAGGCCTCCAGGAGCCATTCATGTGCGAGTTACGTATTACACACTGCTGTACATAATACTGCCAAAATTTGCAATATAAGTACTCTCGCATAGAACAGGTGAATAATGGCTCGACGGCGTTCAAAAATTGAAGAAAAAAAAGGAGGAATTATGTAAGCCTCCGTGACTTATCTATTAATATTCATCGCGACTCGCGCGATTTTACCCGGGTGTGTTCTTTTTACAAGGAAAAGATTAGCGCACGCTTTGTATGCAGAAAAGTGGACCGATTTTTTTCAATTCGCATATACTTGGGCTCGTAACTTACGAGTGTTACGCGTATATATATAGTATAAGAAGCGAAAATAATTATGCGTACGTGGTCGAGAGCACGATGCAATGTTTGTCAATCTTCTATTATTAAGATTCAGTGCAAGTGACGCGGATGATCCGCTGTAATATAGGCGCTTGTTCGGGGGCCTCACGCTCGCTTTCTTTCTTTCCTGCGCGCGTGCGATGATATATTATAAATGAATAAATTATTCATCAGTTGGTCAACGTTTTGTGCTCGGTAGAGTGTACAACGAAAGCCGTGGGCACGAAAGGATTCAACAAGTAGCTTTCGCAATTTTCTTTTTTTCTCTCTCTCTTTTCTTTTTTCTTTTCTTTATTTTTCACAAAACGTAGGATCGAAGTTATCAGTTGCGGGCGATGGCTGACGAATTTTGAACGAATTGCGCCAGGTCAATGGATCATTTACGTAAAATAATGTATTATGCGGAGTGCCGGTGAGATGCATCGATGCTCAAGAGCGCGAAATCGCTTTCATCGCTCGCTTATTTAATTGCAACAAATTACTGCGCTACAACACGTGCACTTGCGAATTATAATATTATTATTTTCATTCGTATATGCATACGCCGTACGTTTAATTGACAAAAATTACTTTCACTAGTGGATTTTCCTCGGTAAATATTCGTGACTCGTGAGAATGGTTTTACTTTTATAAATAACTTTTCTAATTTACGGGGTATGATTTTTTACAGAGAACAGCGTCTCGATAGTCGGTACAAGAAGTTTTAAGCTATAAGTAATGCAAAAGCTTGAAGCTCATTGTATGTGTAAGAAATATTTATAAAATCGACCCAATATGTATAAAAACGAAAAAAATTGTGGATAACTTCTTGCACTCATTGATCTAATCATAAGACACATCTTTTCATCAATAAAAGCTAATCAAAATGCCAAAATAATTGAATAACGTGTAATTATAAAATGCAACAACGTATTCGATTTTTTGAAAATGTTTAGTGATTTCATGTAGCGAGATAATAGGTAAGTAAACGTCATGCCGGTGTATAGAACAATTCCGAGGCTTTCAAAACTATTTGCCATCCCAAGATTGGCTGGCCCAGTCAATATTATCTGTTGTCCGAATACCATTTATCCGTATGTAAACACGTAGCTTTGTACTGCAAAACAGAATCTATCAATGGAATTTAGTGGTGGCCTGACAAAGCCAGTGTCAAACTCGTGTGAACACAACTGAAAGGAGCTAAAAACATTGTCAACCGATGATCTTTCGTTTATCAAATAAAATAGATCAATTCCTGCAAGATCAGGTTTTATTGACCCATTTTTCATTCGGTACCTATGGCACTGCAGAATCTATTGTATGAAAAAATTAAATATTAAAAATATGTCATGCCTTTGGTTAGTTCTCAAGTTTCCGCTAAGCAGCGCTCCTAACGCCAATCAAAGTTCTCGTCTGTCGCAGTGCAGACAATTGATTGGAACAAAGGATCCTTATCATCAGTTACAAAACGCACATGTAGCAATACAAGTCTCAACCTGTGCATCAGTTAAAATTTATGTATCGGTTGTAGTCAGGATATTATCGTTAATCGTTGTTTTATATCAATTGTTCAACATTTTGTGCTTGTATTAAAAGTTTCAAAAGAGAATTGGTGTACTTTTTCGTAATTTGTCCAGAATACGAAATGTCAAACGATAAGAAAATCATAGGTTATAGTGACATAAGTAAAGAAAATTACGATTTTACGTGGGTGATCAGAAGCTATTTACTAATTTTGGAAAAAGGGCAAGGAAAAATAATCTCACCGATATTCACTATCGGTAATGAGAATCAAACAAAATTTCCATTAAAATTAAAAAAACGAAAGGACACCATTTCCAACAGAGTGGCTTTGTACCTCCTTTGCGTAACGACAAATGCAGAAATTACAAGCTCTTACAAGCTATCGATTTTCAAAGATGACGAAATTGTTCACTCTGTAATGGATAGTCAAACATTTCGTGAACCTTCTGTCAAAGAGATTTTTGACATCCAAACTTATGATATGAATAAATTCATATCATCCACAGGTACTATAACCATTCAATATGAATTAACGATTGACACCGGAAATGCGCAGAACTTTTTAAACCTTGAATCTGACAATACAAATAAAGTTTTGGTGCTTAAATGCAATTTCAACTGGTTGTTTTTAAATAAGAATTTTAGCGATGTCATTCTAAAAACTGCATGTGAAAAGGAAATTCCTGCGCATACGGGTGTGCTGAGTATCGCGAGTTCAGTATTCAAAGACATGTTTAACCGTAATATGTTGGAAAACAGAAGTAAATCGGTGAATTTGATCGATGTCAGTTATGAAGCTGCAGTTGAGTCGCTGCGTTACATCTACACAGGTGTTGTGGAGACCCAAGAATTTTCTCTGACTTCTGAACTTTTGACGGCTGCAGACGAATATCAAATTGAAGAATTGAAAAATGAGTGCGAAGAAATATTGAGCTCCAGTTTATCCATTGAAAATGTTGTCAAGGCTCGCAAAATTGCTGATAAGTGTAGCGTGAAACATTTGAAAAAGGAAGCAGTTGATTTTATCAAACGTAATATAAGCGGACCATTGGACTATGATGATATAAGTAATATGATTCTTGGTAAAGCGTGATTAGTTGCAGAATAATGTAAAAACTAGCAGACATACAATCTTTCATATTTTAGTTTTACTCATATTTGTTTTGTTTTAATTTGAATTTATAAACGTTCTGCTGCAATTTATCAACATAAAAATCAGTCAGTTGATATAATTGATATTAGTTATAAAACTGCAGTTGAGTTGCTGAGATACATCTACACAGGTGGCGTTGAAACTCGTGAAGTCTCCTTGGTAATTGATCTTTTGACAGCTGCTGACAAGTATCAAGTAAATGAATTGAAAAATAAGTGTGAAGAATTATTGAACTCTAATTTATCTACTGAGAATGCTTTGGAAATTCTAAAAATTGCTGATAAATATGACATGAAAAGTTTTAAAAAAATAGCGACGGATTTTATAAAATTGCATATTATCGGACCTTCGAATTCAGATGATTTAGGTAATATGATTCTTAGTATGGAACAATTTTTTTCAAAAAAATTTTCGAGCTAATTTGATAACATTTTCCAGTTTCTATCGTACTTATAAATAATCTTGCTATTCACCTTAACTTATAAACATTATGATTTTATTGTATCTCAGATCATAATAAAAACTTTATCAAAACTTACTTAAATCATTCGTTTTATTATATTCTATTATTCATAATACATGATAAGGTTTAAACTTCTCAATGTTCATACAATCATGCAAATCATGCTAATTATAGAAAACAATTGAAATAATAAGAACCAAAAACCACAGGTCACGAAGTTTGACCCTACGAATTTAACAGCTTTTTAAGGCAGCAAAAACCAAACCAGTGTCAAGTCCGTTTTTACGTTCCTGGATGGGCTTGAAGGTTTCCAGCTCAACGATGATTTGATTGCAACAGGTTCGCAAGTCTAGCTGCCAGAGCTTTTAGTGATGCATTAAATACAGTTTCCCAGCACTGTAAAATCGATATTTATTTGTCATTATACGAAAAAAATTAAGTTTAAAAAACTTGTTATAACTTCGTTCAAGTAAAACAGTCCAAAATCTATTTCTTTTAATTAAACCGAAGAAATAAATCAACATTGCGAGTCTTCACTTGTACAGTCGTAGTCAGTTGGTTGTCGTCGCTAGATATCAATTTCTCTGTATACGTGCGTGTGATCAAAGCCCTGTAGACACTTGGTCAGTTTTAGAACGCTTACGTAGCGACACTATTCTTGACTTTTCCAACGTTCAGTCATAGTCGACAAGTTGTCGTCGCCAGATAATCAATTGCTTAGTCTAAGTGTAGTCTTAGTCTAAGTCTACGCGTGTGATTAAAGTGATTTATTCAGTGCAAGATGTCAAAAGTTAATAAAATCTCAGGTTTTACGAGGATTGATCGAGAAGATTGCGAATTTGAATGGACAATTGAAAATATCAAATATACAGATTTGAAAGATGGTGAAAGTTTAGAATCACCGATATTCAGTGCCGAATGCAACAAAAAATTTTATTTCCGAATGATCGCTGAAACGACACCAGTAGCATATAGACGAAAACTAAATAGGTATATAGTTATAAATCTATATCTATATTGCCAAAACATAGTGAACAAGGTCAGATGTGACTATGACCTATCCGTTATTGTGGACGGAAAAAATTGTCATTCGGGTACTTCAGGTACGACAATTATCGAGACAAATAATGCTACTATAGGCGTACTATTAATCAGAGGCAATCACGACGGGCCAATGTTTCAATATGGAAATAGTACAACTATCCAATGCAAATTAACATTATCCTCTGGAAATTCAACGTCATTCCTAGATCCTAAATTTATAGTTGATGACAATAAACAGCAGATACAAAAACTGAAATTTGACTGGATATTTCTCAAGGAAAATTTAAGCGATGTCAAGCTAAAAACTGCATGTGGAAAGGAAATTCCAGCACATAGGGTCGTGCTCGCTACTGCCAGTCCAGTATTCAAAGCCATGTTTACTCATGATATGAAGGAAAATCAAAACAAATTGGTGGAAATGACGGACGTTAGTCATGAAGTAGCTGTTGAAATGCTACATTATATTTACACAGGTAGTGTTGCAAACAGCAAGACTTCCTTGACAATCAACCTTTTGGCAGCCGCTGAAAAGTATCAACTCGAAGAGCTAAAAAATAAGTGCGAACAACAATTGAGCTCTATCTTATCTATCGAAAATGCTCTAGAAATGCTTAAAATTTCTGATACATATAATGCGGACTATCTGAAAAAAAGCGCAGTGGATTTTGTTAAATTTGGTATTAACAAACCATTAGAATTTGGTGAAATAAGCAATATGATTCTTGGTAAAGCGAAAATGGTTTCAAAATAATTTCTTGAATGTACAATTTTTCATTCGTTTATTGTACTTATATTTATGTATTATTGACTTAAACCTGAAAGCACAATACTTATTGTAGTTCGGATCAAAATTAGTGTATTTCAAGCATTATTTACATTATTCAATTTGATAACGATTGAAAAGCAATTTTAAATCATATATAAACCAGAAACGACTTATCGTTCCTAATGACGATACAATGTACATTCCGTATGTACATAAAGACTTATATTTCATTCATATTGTAAAATTTTCATTTGCATCAATTGAAAATAATAATCCATAATTTATTAATTAAAGAATTTGTATCATTTATCCTTCAAAATATTTCAGATAATTTATGAGCGTCTTTCGAATTTTTTGTCCGGTTTTATCGGGCAATGCATCAAAAATCAAATTTTCAAAAATCAACTATTAACTAATTTTTAGTCTCCATTTTACACTTAATTTTTTCGGTATTATTCAGAATTTCAGTAATTTATTTAATTGAAACTGAAGACCTAAGCCCCTGAAATTTTGATTTATGTTTTACATCGTGGTTTAAGAAAGCCAGTCTCAATCTCGTGTCTATTCTACTGGAAGGATCTAGAAGCTCGAAGTTCTTCAGTCCAACAATGATTTTGCCGCAACTATTTATTAGCTGGAAGTTCAGGGTTTGATGACATATTTTTTATTGGTGCACTAAATACAGTACCGACGAAGTCGTAAAATCTACTCATTTAACATTATATAGAAAAAAATTGAATATGAAAAATATTTCGTCGACATCGTTCAAGTAAAACTATAAAAAAATTTTTATATTTGAATTAAATCGAAGAAACAAATTACTACTTTAAATCGTCACTAAAGTTTCCCTAGTTCTCCGCTAAGCGACGCTTACGACAACACTTAAAGCTCATCACTCGCAGCAATTTCTGACGGTTGTGAGTCATGACACAGGCAATTTTCGTAAACGAAGGTTCCCTCTCATCAGTTTTAAAACATTAACAATACGAGTCTTGACTTGAACAGCCATAGTCAGCTGGTTGTCGTCGCTAGATAGTTTCTTTGTGTGTGAGTGTGATCGAAGTTCCAAAAGAACTACAAAGTATTAAATCAGTGTAAAATGGCAAACGTCAATGTAATGTCAGGCTCTACAAGCATTGATAGAGAAGACTGTCAATTTACGTGGACGATTAAAAATATTAATTATAAAGATTTGAAAGAAGGTGAAAGTTTAGAATCACCGATATTCAGTGCTGCATGTGATAAGAAATTTTACTTCCGATTGATCGCTGAAAAGATACAGTCAAATGCAACGGACATTCCTGTATCGATCAGAAGTTTATATTTATGCACCAAAGATATATTAAACGAGATCAGATGTGACTATCGCATTATCATTAATGTAGATGGAAGATTCAAGATCCAGACTTCTGGTACAATAAAAATTCTTGACGCCGATACAACATACAAAATAAAAGATAGCTGTATGAGCAGCGGTTATTTTTGGTCTGAAAATGTAACGGAAATTGTATGTAATTTAACATTATCCAGAGGAAATTCAACTTCATACATGAACTCCAAATCAATAGCCAATGACAACAAAGACACGATACCGAAAATAAAATTCGATTGGGCATTTCTTGACATAGAATTAAGTGATGTTAAGCTACGAACTGCATCTGGCAAAGAAATTCCCGCGCACAGACTAATACTCGCAGCTATCAGTCCAGTGTTCAAAGCCATGTTTACACATGATATGATAGAAAACAAAAACCAATTAGTTGACATGGCTGATGTTAGTCATGAAACTGCAGTTGAAATGCTACGTTATATTTACACAGGTAGTGTTGCAAACAACAAGACTTCCTTGACAATTAACCTTTTGGCAGCCGCTGACAAGTATCAACTTCAAGATTTAAAAAATAAGTGCGAACAACAATTGAGCTCCAACTTATCAACTAAAAATGTTTATGAAATGTTAAACATTGCTAATATGTATAGCGCGAAGAATTTGAAAAAAGAAGCAGTGGATTTGGTTAAACGTAATATAAACAGTTCATTGGACTATGATGAAATAAGTAATATGCTTCTCGGTACAACGCTATCAGTTTCAAAGTAATTAAATAATTTTCTTTTGTACACATTTTACTTAAACGTTTGTTATTTCTATGATCCAAATGTTATAATTGTAGTTCTGATCAAAAAATTTAAAATTTCAAATCGAAAATTAATAAAGTCAAAGTTTACTTTATCCATTTGATGCATTATTTAATTTAATTTTAATTATAAATTTTTCGTTAAACTTTAGGTTCAAATGCATTGAACCGAAAACGCCTTTTTGCATTATTAATTATACGATGTTTTTTAGATAGATATTTACATGTAAATATCTATTAACTATTATAGCCGGTAGTGTTTCAAATTGAAGACAAGTGTGATTGAATATCTTTTAAAATATTTCTCCGGAAAAGAAACAAAATTTCTATACATACATTATAATACTTGTAGCCAAAATATTTAAACTATTTTTACATCCATTCATTTTACTCATTTTTAATTCACTTTATCTCGAAGAAAAAGTAGTATTCATTTTTTTACAATAAGAAATTCATTCTTCCAATGAAAAAACTAAAAATTTTCTATTATCATCAAATTATTTGTTTATTTTAACATTCATATGAACGCAACAGTGCGTTTCTCAACATTCATACTGGCATGCAAACCATAGTATTTTAGTTCGATTACGCTTATATCACGAACGATCATCTTGCAAAGTTTCGACAAAAGTGTTGTTTCGTGAAAAAAATTTAGTCGAGCTTTATCGGGCACCTACGCCATGGTAAAAAATTTGACGAATAATTGTTCATTATTTTTAAAACAGAAGATTTAATACTATTTTATGCAATTAATTTGGGTTAACATGTACGATTGATGACATTTATTGGGCAAAATTATATTATAAAGTTTGTCGAAAGTTACAATAATTAATCACCACGACGTCATTTGAAAAATTAACTTTTACATTCTTCATTCATCGCTTGTGCTCGAATCATCGAAAATAATGATTGATTTATGAAATTCGCACGTTGAAGCGCGAAAATTCAAGAAACCGAGGTTGGGCATGGAATTTAAAAATCACAAATTAATTCATTCGTACAACGCGAAGATGGTACAGTCGATACTCGCACCGCAGTTATTTTAAAATTTTTAAATCGCAGCAAAGTATCATTGACCGGAGAAAGTAAGTTGAATACATAAACGGCTGGTATCACATCCGGAGAAGTCAAAGCAGTTTTTTATGGATTTTTCAGCCTCTGCATACAATCTTTCTTTTCTTTTCTTTTTTCCGTCTTTTTTTGTTGTTGCTGTCTTCTTGTAATTTTACTCCCGACTTTCACTTAATCGCTGGTAATGCGCGGCTCTCTTACAAAGCTCGACATTAGTTACATAAATATTGACGTTTGTTTAGAATATTTGTTTTCTTCGGGCCTCGCGAGCCATACATTATCCTCGCACAGTGTATAATACGGCGAATATGATATAGAACGTCGTATCTCAGCCGAGGAAAAGTATTTAAGTACTTTCGCAAAACGCAGCATTTAAATATGCGCCGCAGTAAAAAAAATGACCATCGCCCCGCAGCTGAATCTCGATTACATCATATTATCGTAAGATGCACGCGGATTGAAAACTGTCGCTGCAACACACGCGTGCATCTGCTCGTTTGCGCAACTCCTGCGTGTAATTAAATTTTTGCACTCTGCATCGACATGTTTGTACGTGCATATTAAAGTTATTCCAATAATCGCTGCGTGAATTATTGGCGAGGAGGTTTTTTACGATATGTAGGATCGATGATTCGACACCATATCGTATAAGCTGCAAACTCACGCGAGATATTTTACCGATCACTTCGTCCTAAAACGAATTTCAACTCGGATGCACAATCAAAGTTACATGTAACGAATTCGATAACATTTTCACACGCGCTCGCAATCGATTTTATGCTTTCCACGCGCTCATTATACGTTCACCTGGAAGGCAGAAGCCCGCGAAAAATCGTAATTTAACATTTATTGCAGCTGCTGTTCGTGTCTGTGTACGTGTGCGCCTAGCTCACATAGACGCGGTAAATTAATAAAACATGCGCGCACACCCGAAGCGATGTTTCAAGATCACTTAGCGTAAATTTCTTGGCTCTCGCTAGCCTCACTTTATCAATATACATCGTAATCATTATAAACGTATATTATAAAGGTTTACATGTATGCGCCAATGCTGTATATTATGTAGCTGCGTCTCACGCATTGCACGCGTACCGAAGCTTCGATGATTCGAATTGAATCCTAATTGCAATCGATTAATTCATTTACGGCGACGTTAAACAAAATATGTATTATATGTGTGCGTGTGTGCGGAGCTCGAACACGAGTATATAGGCGCCGATACATTTATACTCGATCGCGAGCGCGCGAGGGTACCATATACCTTTCACCAACTATTTACGACGATTTAGCATTACTGCACACATGCGCAGCACACATGAACGCTTATAAATACAAAGAAACACCTGTCGCAATTGCATATATAGGGAAGCAAAAACAAGTGGAATATCGGTTTTTTCGCGAGAAATAGGAGCGCGCCGCGTCACGCGTATTACATACATCATATCATACGCAGATTCCGCGGCTCTTCGCCGAATCTTTCACTTATCCTTTCGCGCTCGCGATCGAGCGGGTTAACGTCCGTAATGATCGCTCGCACAGAAACGGACATTTTTTCCGGAGGCCGTTTAATTACTTTTTCTCGCCTATTTAAGTATTAACTATGCGCGGGCTTTCCGAGCACTGGTTAACGCGCACCACAGTCGGCGTAATATTAGCCGCGCGCATTGGAAATCGAAAGTTCGCAGGCAGGACATATGTGTATACGCGTGTGTGTATAAATTTTATTCGATCGCTTTTGGATGTCATTATGTCGTAATGTATCTCTCTCTCTCTCTGCGTGCATGTATATATACGACTTTCCTTCGCGAGAAAAACGTGACTGGCGAATAGTACATATAGAGCTCAGCTCCGCACGAGGAGGATAATAGGTGCAATGCACTTGCGTCGGGTCCTCGCATGCGTATATGTATACGATATAATACAACGTATATATTCATACATTCGTGAGTGCATGTGTGTGTGTGTGTGTGTGCGCGCGCGCAAGAAGCAGCTAATTCGAGAGTAAAAGCCTGTGCAGCGGCATAAGCGGCATAAATCATTCCTCGCTCTATATTTACACGAATTTTTTTTTTCGTTGCGCTATAGTGCGCGAGGCATGTGTATGAATTATACGGGGATTGGTATCCCGATGAAAACAAAATTTTTCCGCGTACACGTGTGTGTGTGTGTGTGTGTGTGTGTGTGTGTGTGTGTGTGTGTGTGTCTGTGTATGCGTGCAGATACGCGGGTTGTCTAATTTTTCATTAACATTGCCCAATTCGGAAAATATAGGATATTCATTATATGAGTTGCGTCAGTATGGAAGACGTAAAGATCGATGCGTTTCTCGTGCAGCGAGCAGCGCATCGCAATCCATCCGACGATTGAGAATTATGTTATTAGTTGGCTTTTTTATACTATGGAGGCGAAGTGAACGTGTATGAAGATAGATAAGATGCTTTGAAAATACTGCGCGGGTAAGAACATTTTACGTTCCTCGAATTCTTTGGCGAAGTCGATACTTTGCTCAATAAAGTCCCTCGATTTTCAACTGGAATAATTCAAAAGCTCGATGCCCGTCGCGCAGGATCCATATGCGGGTATTTTGCATTCATCTCCTCTTCCTTTTTCCGCGTACAATAATTAAATATATAAATGCGCGCTTAACGGCGCGCGACTTTTCACTCGGAAAATCCGCCGTGCAGTTTCGATACGTATAATATAAATTCCGAGGTGAATTTTTGCTCCTCGCGCGTCCTTCTCGATACGCGCTCGATATAGCTCTTACCTATACTCGTGGAAGCAGCCCGGCGCAGTCCATGTATAGCAAGGCTTAATACGATCGGATGCTGGTCTAAGTCGTAATCGTTGACTTTAATTGATTCGATCGTTATACCCATATATACCATGCATTAGTTCGCTCGTTCGTTCGCGTATCCATCGGATGTGTTTGCGCTACGCGTATGACGAGGAGTTGATGTAACGATCGCTCGTCGAACCTGCTCTCGCGCATATATACACAAAACGTCGATTGAATTTGATTGCAACATTTTTCATTCGATCGCTCGACGTAGAAAATCGGCAATCCGACGCGCGCGCGCGTGCTATATACCCGCAAATGTAACGATCTCGTCGATTTATGGCTTTAATTATAAACCGCATCGAGGCAATTTTTTTTCTCTTCATTTCCCCCGCTGCGTCTCAAAGCTTCGACCGGGGTGAATCGCGTTTTTGAGAGTTCGGCTCGCATATGTCTCAATATAGGTTTTTCGCGAGAATATAATTTTGTTTGATGGTGTTTTCTAAAAGCTAGGCGGCAATCGTTTTCTAATTTGCGATCGAGAATGAGTTTGAATAAATTAAAACGTAGAAAATGAGTCGAATAAATTAATCGAGGGCACGACACACTGCAATTGTCATTGAATGAATTTATCAAAAGGAAATCCTATTTCCCTTTGCAGCAGCTACTGCGGGCACTATATACGTATATTGGCCTTTAAACTGCAGCTCGTGCGTTGCGATAATTATTATCATAATCGCACCTAAGTGTGTGTGTATGTGTGTGTGCGTGCCTGCTCTTATGTGTATATGCCTCGGTGGTAATGGGCATACATAACTGTTTCGTCGGTGCTCTCGTCGAGATATATGCGCGCGATATTATTGTGCGTGGCGCTCGCGCGCGCACACACACACGCGTATGCACTGCTACAGCACAAGTCGTCGTGAGCAATGCGAGGCGCTACATTACTCGAGTGAGCACCGACGAATGCAATGTCAAGGATATCTCTTTATGTATATTTCTCACCGTGCCGCTCGCGCTAACAACGTCTCGCAACGCACTGCGCTCAAAAAAATCTCGACTTTTTAACCCAGAGAGCCTCGCGCCGAATTCCCTCGCGCGTAATCTTGTGTTTCGTTATCGCTCTTATGCGCGATACACGTAATGAGAGTGATTTATTGCATTCGGACGAAAAAATACGAAAGAAAACAACGACAACGGGTAAATATAAATGATGAAAATAAGAGCAGTCGTGCGATGTGCACACGTG